GGGTGGGGGTGGGGGGGAGGCTGGGTGGGTGAGGGGGTGGGTGTGTTAGCCAATCAGTGTCCTTATTTATGCAGATGTGACCTTGACCTTGACGAAGGCCAGACCATAGTCTCGGCTGCTTTGGGCTGGATCGTGGTGGGGGGGGGTAGAAGAATGCTCTGGGGAACCCCCCCCCCTTTACCCCCCCCATAAGATGCACTCCTTTAATGGGTTTTTACCTCTTGCCCTCACAGTCAGGAGCGTTGTACTGTGTGTGTGTGTGTGCGTTCTGTAAACCCCCCCCCCCCGGGGTATTTGATATTTCAGGCTTTGAAATGTTCCGCTCCATTTCTCCAGGGTTTTCTTCTTTTTCTTTGACTAGTTTTTCCACCACAGAGAATGAAGTAGTAATACTCCTAAATACTGTAGTACTCCGTAGTACGCCTTCATTCATTCATACTTTTGACACTAAATAGAACTGAAAATAAATGTGGATGTAAACAACAGAAACGTACAAACAGTGACTCTGAACGTGAATTCATTAATTAGTATTAATTAGTATTATTATTATTATTACTACTACACTGTTGCCGGGTAAAACTCTCAGCTCCCCTCAGTGGACTTGTACACTTACATCACTGCTTATTTCAATTGTTTAGTAGGAATTTTTATCAACTAATGGTTTGTGCTGCTGACCTTTGACCTCTGGTTAATACAGCCCCCCCCCCCCGCTCTGGTCTCAGGTCCTTCCAAAGCTGTCGTCCTCCATCACCCATGAGGTGGACAGCATCCTGGGGAACAAGCCGTACAGTAAGAAGGACTACCGCTCCTAACAGGCGGCCCGGCCCCCGCCCCCGCCCCACAGGGCTGTATCCTGGGCCGCAGCGTGCCCCACCTTTGCCTGATCCTCTGTTTGCTTGAGCTTTTACTAAGTGAGCCCCTGGCGCATGAGTGTGGCCCCCCCAGGGCCACCCAGGGCCCCTCATTTAGAGTCCCAGGGAAAAGAAAAGTGGAGATTATAGTCATATCTGCAGGAAACAAAGGGAAGGAGGGGGGAGGAGGGAGGAGGGAGGGGGAGACGCGCTCATCCTTTAGTCACTTATACATTCACTTCAGCCGACGTATTTTAAAAACATAGACAAAAATTACTTAAAAAAATAAGCACACGCTTGCTTGGCAGAAGTTCTGTTTTTCCTGGAAAATGAATGCAACGAAAAGGACGAGTTCATACTGTCTGAATACTCAGCAGTACTGCACCAGTACTGCACCAGTACTTCACCAGTACTCCACCAGTACTGCACCAGTACTCCCATCTACCCTCCAGTCTGTGGACGTGGTGTCCACTCCTGTGTCCATCAATGAAAGAAAAACTGTTGATGACATCATCATCAGTGAGGTCACATGTTGGTCTTCAACAATCAGCACTTTAGTCACGGTCAGTGGGAGGGGGGGGGGGGGGTCAGAGGAGGAGAGAAGATGGAAAACTCCCAACTTTATTCTCACAACCATTGCACTGTTACAGCTTCACCTCCCCCTCCCCCTCCTCTTCTACCTCCCCCTGCTCCCCCTCTACCTCCCCCTTCCATCATCCTCCTCTTTGTCCTGTCCACATGGAGGAGTGGGGACGTAGACAGGACACCAACCACTTCCTCTGCTCAGGTGGACAGGAAGTGATGACATCACTGCTGGTGGCGTCTCTGATTGTGGACATTTTTGTTTTTGCTGTGGCTCAACATCTGGCTCGCAGCCCTCATGTTCCTGATCACTTCCTGTGATTAAAGCACACGTTGGAGACGTGACACCTCCTCAAAACATGGACTCTTCTTCACCATCATCTACAGTACACCACCAGACAGAGCAGAGCACCACTGCGCCCCCTAGTGGTGGAGAAACAAACTTCACTAACTGCTAAATTGATTCTTAGTGTGTGTGTGTGTGTGTGACCTGTTTTGTTCATCGTTTGTTTGTCATCGTCGATGACTTTTTTCCTCAGAAGATTAAAAACAAACGTTGGTTTTATCTCATGTTTCCCCCTGCAGGCAGTGGGGGCTGCAGGTGAACAACAGAAAAGACTTTGTTGAATCACATGTGTATAAAATGTTATCTTGCAGTATCCTAGTAGTAGTAGTAGTAGTAGTAGTGCTGTAGTGTACTGTAGCACCTGAGTATTACGGGTGTACATTGTTCTGCTGGTGTCTTCACTGTGTCTTACCTCCAGTTTTGCTTGCTGTGATTTGTAGACCACCAGGGGGCAGTCGTGCAGGATGTTACTGTACAGAGTTTTAAAGTGCTGCATGTTGTCTCTGACAATATTAGACACTTTGGATCTGTCTTCTCCAAACACCATCCGAAAATCCCCTGCACAGAAAGTGATAAAAGAACAATGAAGCCATCGTGCACTTAGAATATTATTAATCTTAAACTGAATTTGTTTCACAGATGATTTAGAACCATGCTGACAGTGACATAGTGTGTATGTCTTTTGGTGATTGTTTTGTTTGTGTAGTGGATTATTTACCAGCATAAGAGAGGCCAGCTATCTGCAGGAAAAGCTCTTCTTCAGTGAAGCTCTCTGGCAACATGAGGAAGGAGGCCGTGACGGCACTTTTCAGGTTGGACACTAAAGCTGCCCGCAAACTTCCATTCTCACTCTGCACAAGCATTTTCACCTGCACAGAAGAAACAGTTCCTGCACAGGTGAACACAATAGGAAAGTGAATTTCTGGTCACTGCACACCATTTTTTAAAGTGGATTCATCAGTACACAGAGCATACTCACTGGTTTGTGAAGACGCCCTGCAACATACAGAGTGTTCCAGTGCATGAGGTCATCCATCAACGACTGTGTACTGATCACACCATATTTAATAGTCTGGGATGAAGAACAGAACACAAACCAACGTGAACTCATCTGTTTACAGTGGTAACTTCTCACAAAATCAAGGTGTCATAAAAACCTCATTCATTTACCCTGCCATCCACAGGCACCAATGTGTTATAATATACTGCCGCCCCGTGGTCACTCTGTATGGAGCTGATCGTCTTAGGACCCAGCAGCTTGAGGATGGAGTAGTGTTTCCGGTTCTGGAGCAGATTCATGGTGTGCCAGGTCACAGGATCATCCACCGCAAACACAAAGTCCAGCATGTTTTTCTGTACCGATGTTCAGAACATTACACGTCATTTAATAGCTACCATAGTGATGTTGATATCTGTCAACCTGTGTTTATGGACTCGACGCTGAACGTTTTACAACATCACAAAGGACGAATCAGTTCGTGTTTCTTACTTAACTTTGAGGAACGTAGCTTCGGACAACTTAGCAACTTTTAATGGTCGTTAAATGACCTTGACTTGGTAAATGACTGTTCATCACAGCTGTTAAAAGTCATGCACACTTGCTCCTTGTCAGAAATGCTGCTTTCCGCCAGGAGAACGACAGGCAGCCGGCTGTCCCTCACCTCCATTTGTCCTTGGCTGCTCCCGTGATGTTTGAAAACACCAGATCCGTAGGCAAAAGCTAAAGTGATGTCCTGAGGGAAGTGAGAGAGAATCCTCCGGTAAAGAACTCCAGTGTTGTGCAGAGCCGGGACGGTCATGTTGAACTAAGACCTACGTTCTTCAGCAGCAACAGCGCCCGCTTCACAAACAAGGTAACACGGTAAACAAAGTTTTAAATGACGTCACAGTAACTGAACCTGATAACTATTAACCATAAAAATAAAACACCTGCGGTCGTGACTCCGGTCTTAGCATGTTGGTTCAGTTTAGACGTTTGGCTGTCGACTAAAAATTACGTCACTGTTTTCGTCGCAAGCGCTGGATCCTGGGAAATTGAGTTAAAGTTGAAGACAGTACAGCGATAACTTTACCCACGCTGTCAGTCACCAGGATCCGTCAAGGTATTTCTGTACATTTTTAAAGGATTATAGTTCAAATCTTTGTTCTCGTTGGATGTTGTCCTTCAACCCTGTGCTGGTTTTGACGTCATCGTCTTCTATTGACGTCATCGTCTTCTATTGACACTGACCTTTAAAACTACAGGTCTATGCAGCGGTAGGAATGGTGAGTTGGGAAATGTAACCACTAGATGTTGCTAGAGATCCTTCCGTAAAATGGAAGCCAAAAAGCACAGATTTAAATGAGTGTCATCAGTTTCCTCTGTCAGACATCAGAGAACATCAAAGTGCTTTGAAGGGAAGTTCAAATCCTAAAAAACAGACGAGAAGAATTAGGATCAAAAATACGAAGCCTGAGTACTGAGTACTGAGTACTGAGTACTGAGTAGTGAGTACTGAGTACTGAGTAGTGAGTACTGAGTACTGAGTAGTGAGTACTGAGTACTGAGTAGTGAGTACTGAGTACTGAGTAGTGAACACAGTGTGATGTAATCAACCACAGTGAGAACTGCATCATCATTGTGTGTCACCAGTGTGAAAGTCCTGATATCTACCAAGAACATGTCCGTGTGTGTGATGATTACACTTTGATTTCTCTGTGGTGACACATACTGCAGTACACTTCCTGTCCTGTGGCTGTCCCACTGGACATTCTTTTACTACAGTACATATCTCACATAACGCTGAAACATGTACACACACGTGTGTACTTTTTGTGGCTTGTGCACGCCTGTTGCCATGGAGATGTCCATCAGCCTTGTGATGGAACATGTCTCCTGTGTCGACGCGCAGCTCCGTCAGGATGAACGTTACTGAAGCATTAGCATAAATGAGCTGCATGTCTGTTAGCAGCATTTGGTATTTTTGAATAAAAACATCAGAGTTTGGACAGAAAGTCCAGTTTGAACTTTGAAAGTTCCTGTTCTCTGCACCGTAACACCACGAGAACCGGTTGAATGAGTGGGAAACGTAGACTGGTGGATGACGGAGGTACTGCAGCTGCAGCACTGGATTCTTTTTCTGACTCCAGCAGCACCACGTCCAGGTGTGTCGACTGGTGGTGAAGTGTGTGTGTTGACAGATGGACCAGCGTCCTGGGTCGGGGGTCTGATGTCACGTCAGAAGGCGTCCGTCTCTGTGGAACAGCACTGCACTCTGATACGGAGCAGTACTGCAGTATGCAGTACTGCAGTATGCAGTATTATCCTGTGTACGTGGCTGTAACAGCTGACGGTGGATTTCTCACGGTGTCTCAGACCGAGAGAATCCAGACCATCGTCTTTCTCCCATTTTGTTCTGTCGTCCTCTGGCTGTGGATGGATGGATGGATGGATGGATGGATGGATGGATGGATGGATGTGTGTGTGTTTAAGGAGGTGGAGCTCACACAGCCAGTTGGAGTGAACTCCACCTTTAGAACCATCACAACAGGAAACCCCCGTCCACTGGTTGCACACGGCACACGACGCTGCGGGGGCCGGCACGACACACACACACACACACACACACACACACACACACACACACACACACGGCCTGTGATGTAGGAGGAGGATGACAAGAGAGAAGGAGGGGGGAGGACGGGGGGAGGAGCATGACAGTCAGTAAGCATGCTCTGAGAGAGAGAGAGAGAGAGAGAGAGAGAGCAGCATCTGAGTGGAGGATCAACACCACACCTGTCTCTTTCCTTCACACACACACACACACGCGCGCGCGCGCTCGCTCATACGTCACACTAACATTTCTAAGGAGGCGTCGAGCTCCGGAGGAGAACGCTGTTTCCTGCCACAGCTTTGGAGACTGGACCACAGCTGCAGCCATCGCTTCCTGCGCCTTTTTCATCACCGCTTTTCAACACAGGAGGCGCTCTCCATCACCTAGCCCGCGTTCACTTGTACCGATTCGACCTCTGTCTTTCAACTGACCTCTGATTGGTGAGCTCCTCCTCCTCCTCCTCCTCCTCCAACAGAGACAGGCCAGGATACCACTTCAGACCGCAGCCATGAACTTCCTCCGACGCCGTCTCTCTGACAGCACGTTCATGTCCAACCTGCCGAATGGATACATGACGGACCTGCAGAGACCTGACCCAGCTGCACCTCCTCCCCCCGCTGCAGCCTCACCTCCCCAGCAGGGTGCAGCCCCTGCCCTTTCACCAACTACTGCCCCAGCAGCGTCCCAGGTTCCAGCCAGCTCCTCCGCAGCTCAGGAGCGACAGCCACCACAGGCCCAGTCCTCCTCCTCCTCCTCCCCCCCCCCCCCCCCCCCCCCCCCCGCCCCC